AAATTTTCTAATAACAGTAGCAAAATGTGAATTTTACTGATCTAATTCTATGAAATCAGGTAAAATATTTTCTTCATATCCAATAATTTTGGGGAGGGGATACTGTTTGATGTAGCTCACTGTTGGTCTCGTGTAGAAACAATTGTGTGATTAAATTAGAAATAATTTAAAATTAATGTTTTTGGGGGAAATTTGCAATGCCCCTTGAAATCTCTAGAATGGTTAATCCTTTAAAAATCGCATTATGAGAAGTATGCAACCAATCTCATAAAATCAACTTTGAGCTTCTAGAAGAGCAAGCTGCAAAATAGCTCTATGATTGGAGAACAAACATGAATAGAGACTAATGGGCTGATGTGTAGCCTCTGTATTTATTCACTTCTATTTGTATGAGATTAAAAGAAATCCCAATACAGCATTTTCTCCCACTTTCTCATCCTTCCTCCTATTAACAGAAAAAGCAATTATGCTTGGCAAAAAGAAAAATGTAATGCTGGCCGGGCACAGTGGCTCACACCTGTAATCCCAGCACTTTGGGAGGCCGAGGTGGGCAGATCACTTGAGGACAGGAGTTCAAGACCAGCCTGGCCAACATAGCGAAACCCTGTGTCTACTAAAAATATTTTAAAAAATTAGCTGGGTGTGGTGGCAGACACCTGTAATCCCAGCTACTCGGAAGGATGAGGCAGGAGAATCACTTGAACCCAGGAGGCAGAGATTGCAGTGAGCTGAGATGGTGCCACTGCGCTCCATCCTGGGCGACAGAGAGAGACTCTGTTAAAAAAAAAAAAAAAAAAAAAGTAATGCTATCAGCAATTAAAATTACAAACTTCACGTACAATGATGTATATAATGACCCTGACACATCCAATACCATAAAGTCTGAAAATGTCAGAGATACATGGTTTGCAAAGTATCATCCCTATACCAGCAGCATCAACATCATCTAGGAACTTGTTAGAAAGGCAAATTATTGGGCTCTACCCCGACACCTGTGGAATCAGAAATTCTGGGGCTGGATCACAACAATCTGCTTTTAACAATTTCTCCAGGTGATTCCGATGTCCATTAAAGTTTGAGAACCACTCATCTAGACAGAACCGTGCTACTTCAAGTACGATCTGTCAACTGGTAACATTGAAATCACTAGGGTCTTGTTAGAACTGCAGAATTTCAGACCCCACCTAGACTTACTGGATTAGAATCTAAATTTTAATAAGGTCTCCAGGTGACTTGTGCGCATGTTAAAGTTTGAGAAATATCATACTTGTCCAATGGTTTCTTTCATGGGCTGAACTGTGTCTTCCCCAAATTCACACGTTGAAGTCCTAGCCTTCAGGGGCTCTAAATAGAACTATTTGGAGATAGGCCTTTGACGAGGTAATCAAGTTAAAATTAGGTCTTTAGACTAGGCCCTGACACAATATACGACCAGCATCCTTATAAGATGAGCTTAGGACACAGACATGCACAGAGAAAAGACCGTAGTAAAGATATAGGGGGAAGATGGTCAGGTGCAAGTGAAGGAGAGAGGGCTCAGGATCAACCAACCCTTGATCTCGGACTTCCTGACTCCAGAAGTGTGAGAAGATACATTTCTGTTGCTTCAATCACCCAGTCTGTGGTCCTTTGAATGGCAGTCCTAGCAAACTAATACAGTTTCCAAACTCAGGAGTCATCTAGGGAGTTTTTAAAATATTGATACCTGGTTTCCATTCCCAGAGGTTCCAATTTAAGTGGTCTGAGGATCAGCTCATAAATCTTGATTTTAAAAACCTCTCCAGCGAGGCATAGTGACTCAGGCTTGTAATCCCAGCACTTTTGGAGGCTGAGGCAGGTGGATCACCTGAGGTCAGGAACTGGAGACCAGCCTGGCTAGCATGGCGAAACCCCTTCTCTACTAAAAATACAAAAATTAGCTGGGTGCAATGGCAGGTGCCTGTAATCCCAGCTACTCGGGAGGTTGGGGCAGGAGAATCGCTTGAACCCGGGAGGCAGAGGTTGCAGTGAGCTGAGATCGCACCACTTGCGCTCTAGCCTGGGCAACAACAGTGAGACTCCATCTCAAAAAAAATAAAAACAAAAAACAAACAAAAAAACTCCCCAGGTAATTTTTAATATGCAACAAAGTTTGAATACCACTGCTAATCTACTCCAGGGGTGTCCAATCTTTTGGATTACCTGGGCCACATTGGAAGAAGAATTGTCTTGGGCCACACATAAAATACACTAACACAATGACAGCTGATGAGCTAAAAAATAAAAAATCGAAAAAAAAAATCTCCTAATGTTTTAAGAAAGTTTACAAATTTGTGTTGAGCCACATTCAAAGCCGTCCTGGGCTGCATGTGGCCCACAAGCCACAGGTTGGACAAGCTTGGTCTACTCCATTCTTTTCACTGATGAGAAATCTAAGACAATTGTAACTCTTAAATTTCAATCTCTTGATACTTGCTTACCTGATCTCCTACCATTATGGACCGAAACTACCTTCTGTAAGTATTTAAGAGAATATTCTACTGGAAAAGAGAAAGTTAAATCAAAGCTGGCAATAATATACACTCTTTTCGTGCTTCAACTTTTTAAGTTTTAGTGTCTGTGTGTGTGTGCTAGGGACCATTTTGAACTCTGTGTGTGTGTGTGTGTGTGTGTGTGTGTGTGTGTGGTAGTACATCTTCCCCAGTACAGGTATAGGGAAGGTCCCCAAAGATAATCTGTTGAACCAAGTTGTCAGTGCCACTACCTCTCCCTAGGTTCTTCTTTTCCCTCCTGTTAAGGTTCCCTCAAGGCTCCTAGGATCCAAATTAAGGACACTCAGATGCTGTAAACCAGCCTTCCAAGGCATTGGCAGCAAACCACTAATCAGTTTTTTTTTTCTTTCACTAAATCCTTTCCCATGTCCCTGTGAACTTTTGAAGCTCCCAAACTCAACACTCCACTCAAAGGACAACTATTTACTGAATATTTACTCTTTTCCAGGAACTCGAGGGTTTGATTCAGACTTAATAGAAACCCTATGAGATTATACACACACACACACACACACACACACACACACACACACACGCATGCGCGCGCGCGCAAGGTGCAGTCTCTAAAAGTTAGCACACTCCATAAAAGTGATTTGGCACCCTTAAAATACCATACACCCTTGTGGAGAGGGGAACTCTGCTCTAAATGTGTGCTTTTGCTATGTTGATTAACGTTTAGTATTTTACTTGGCCCGAACATTGATCACAGGTTCAAATAGACTTATCTTCTTGACAGTCTAGTAGACTTTCTGGTTAGTTCCCCAGATACATCACCTACCTGCCTCTCCCTGGCTGCCTTTCCACTATGGAAGCTGAAAAAAACTGATACTTTCCCAGTCTCCTTTGCCACTAAGGGCAGCTATGTGCCCCAGATATTGCCAATGAGATCAAAGTAGGATTCTGTTAGATAAATTTGGGGAAAGATATTTTTTCTTTGATAAGAAAGTTGCATGAGGAAAAATACTCTGACCTTTTCCACCCTGTTTCCTGTCATTGAACATGGGATCAGGACTCAGTGTCTTGAGCTGTTAGAGCCATCTTGAAGCCGTGAGGGTAAGACACTGACTCAGAACCCCGATATTGTTGGGTCACTGAATCAACTCCAGTTATCACCTGCTGTCAGACTTCTCTATTTTTTTTTTTTTTTCTTTTTGAGAGACAGGGTCTTACTCTGTCACCCAGCCTAGAATGCAGTGGTGCAATCATAGTTCATTGCAGCTTTAAAATCCTGGGCTCAAGGGATCCTCCCACCTC